AGGCTCAAGCACCATCGGTTCGATCGCTCTCCGGATCGGCGGTTTCGCAGGGTCAGGTAGCATCCCACAGGGATTTGCCCTTGCCTTTGGGGATGGAGGAGATGGAGACCCAGGAGCCCGGGGGACCTACCCTCTTTGGGGACGAGGAAGACCTCGATTTGGGGTCCATCATGGGCAGTGAGCTCTTCTCGGGAGCAGACCCACTGGAGGGGGACATGTCGGAGGACGAGGGCCTAACTCCGGACCAGCCCGCATTTGTGGGGCTGTTTAAGCCGCACCTGTTTAGGTCTCTTCTATTCAAGGCCAAGAATACCTCTGGCCTGACCCCTTCCACTCTACCCAAGCCAGCGGCTTCGGGGGAACCTCTCGACTCCATTTTCTCCCAGCCCGTGGTGGAAACTGATGTGATCCCTGTTCCACCTATCTTCTCCGACCTGGTTTCCAGGCAGCTAGCCTCCTCGGGGCCCCCTCCCCCTCCCAACACTCAGGACAAGCGGTTTTTCAACCTTGACCCGCAGTTCTCCCTCTTGCTCGATCCCCCTCCTGTAGACGAGCCTATTGTAGGCCTAGCCTCCCGTTCAACTCCTAGTGATGCCCTCGAGGCACTCAAGTCCGAGGACAAACGAGCTGAGCTGGCCCTGCGCCGCGCTCACCTTTCTGACGCTTGGGCAGTCAGAGCTTCCACTGCCGCGTCCTTTTTCATTAGATCCTCTATCAAGTGGCTCCAACAGCTCAAGCAGCATGTCCCCGCAACCAACCTCAGAGTGCAGCAGGACATCGCTAAGCTCACGGCCGCGGCCGAGTTTTCGGCAGACGCCACTTTTCAAGCTGCAAAGTTTTCTACCAGGGCCATTTCGTCCCAGGTTACCGCCCGCCGCCTGCTCTGGCTCCGACACTGGCAGGCGGACGTCAAAAACAAGGCTAAGCTAGCCTCAGCCCCCATTTCTGGGGGGAAACTTTTTGGACCGGCTCTCGATCCATTCCTGGCCGAGACCCATAACAAACGCAAGTACCTCCCCTCTCTTTCTCGGAGGACTGACCCCAGAGGTCCCTCTCCCTCTTTTTGCCAAAGTTCTTCCCGTTCCTCCTCCTTCCCCCCCAGGCACTACCAATACCCTTCCTACAGGCTCCCTCCACCTCCCGACTGGTCGGACTCCGACAGGTACAGAAGAGGTACCTCATCCAAGCAGCCCTCCCGGGGATCCGGAAGCAGGCCGTTCCGTCGTTCCCGATAATGCAACTGCCCCATAGGCGGCTGCCTCAAACCAAAAAAAAAAAAAAAAAGAAGAAGAAGAAGAAGGCCAAACCCTACCGCCTCCTCTTCATGTTTCGCTTCCCTTCCTCTCTCATCAGTTCCCAGCGTGTTAACTGAGGCTTGGGCGGCCTTGCCGCCCGCTTGTGATCTTCCCTGTCCGGCCTCACGGTTGTCTGGACGACATCCTCAACCTCTCCTATTTTAGGGCCCTCATCCTACATTCGAGCCCTTCACATGGGGGCAGTGATCTCACTGCCCGGGAACCGGTTTTCTCTGTCTCCGGACAGGTGGCTTACTATCCACCAATCTTACAGGTTAGGAGGGCAAGAACAATTTTCCTTTTCAGACTTGCCTGAACTGTTGGGGAAGCTTATTTCGTATACCTGCATTCTCCCTTGGGTCCCTTTCCATACCAGGTCTCTACAATGATCTCTGCTGTCGTACCAACGTTCAGAAAGGAACAGCTCGCGACTCCGGGTCGGAGTTCCCCTACGAGTCCTCATGTCCCTCCCTTGATGGACCGGGCCGGCCATCAACAAGGGTCACTACCTCAAGGTACCCGACAGGCTATCCGTCATCACGGACGCGAGGCTACCCGGCTGGGACGTTCTCGCCCTCCTCATCTTGTCCCAGGGCAAATGGTCGGCAATAGATCTACCCTGCTCCATATATTAGCTGGAGTTCCTCGCTGTGCACCTGGCCTTTCGCAGCTTTCTACCCCAGGTACGCGGACCTCTCGTTCTGGTCCTCACAGACAACACCACACAAAGTCACATATCCCCAGACAAGAGGGCTCTCCGTCAGCAAGGCTCATGAGAGAAGCCGAACGCCTTTGCCGTTGGGCGGAACCGAATCTGGCCTCCATCAGGGCAGGTCACATATTGGGAACATTGCACACCTAAGCAGCTTGGTTCAACAGGGCCACTCTGGCCCAAGCAGAAGGGCCCCTCCTCCCCTCCCCTTCAAGGAGGCAGTCTCAATCTTCGGGCTCCCCACGGTGTATCCCTGCGCACCCTCTCTCAACGCCCATCCACCGAGATTCTTCCCCAGACGCCCCCCCCAAGGGGCGGGGAATCACAATGCCCTCCGTTGCCCTTGGGCCTCAGGGCTCCTTTATGCCTCTCTTCCCCTCCCCATCATCCTCAGGGCGATACACACGTTGGTTCCGGAAAAGGCAGAGATTTCCCTAGTAGCCCCCTATTGGTTCTGACGCCTTTGGTTCGCGATCTTCCACAACCTTTTTGGTGGTTCCTCCTTGTGGAACCTCCCCAGACAGGAGCCCCCTGTCCCGGGGCCTTCCACTACATCCGAACCCCCCATGGCCCCAACCCGCCGTCTGGGGGCCGAGCGGAACCACTTAAAAGCGCACAATGTTTCCAGCTAGGTTATAGATACCCGTATATACAACGCTGCGTGGGTCGCCTTCCGTGCCTGGATCCTCAAGTTCCAAATTAACCCTCTTCCTCTTTCCATCGCTCAGATTCTGGAATTCCTTCAGGAGGGCCTTGACAAGGGACTGCCTACCAACACCCTAGGGCGACAAATCGCTGCCCTCGCAGCGGTTGCCTCTTCGGACATTGGGGGTTCCATTTCCCATTACCCCCTTGTCCGGGTTTTCCTCAAGGGAGCTTCCAATCTCCGCCCCCCCCGATCATACACCGTCTTTCCGACCTGGGACCTCAACAAGGTCCTAGTCGCTCTTCCCAAGCCCCCCTTTGAACCCACTAGGGAGGCTTCCTTACAGCTCCTCACCCTCAGGACTGTTTTTCTTGTGGCCATCACATCCGCTCGTCGAATCTCGGAGATGGCAGCCCCTTTCCATTAAGCAGGATCTTTGCGTTTTTCACTCTGATAGAGTCATCCTCCGCCCCGACCCCACCTTCCTCCCTAAAATAAATTCAGCCTTTCACAGAGCTCAGGAGCTCATACTCCCTAACTTCTGCCCCAATCCCTCTCGAGAGAGGGAGAGACAGTGGCATTCCCCGGATGTTAGGTGCGCCTTGAGAGTGTATATCACATGCACCCAGCCTCTTCGCAAGTCAGAGGCCTTATTTGTGTCCTTCCAACCTGCTTCTCTCGGTCACAAGGTGACGCCCACAACCGTGGGCCACTGCATTAGGGCCGCCATCGCCAAAGCCTACCAGGCACAGTCCCTCCCCGTTTCCATGGGCACCACCGCCCACTCCACTAGAAGTGCGGCTACTTCTGCCACATGGGCCACACAAGCCTCTATAATCGATACCTGTAGGGCTGCCACCTGGGCATCCCCATCTTCCTTCGTCAAGCATTATAAGATGATGTATTTGCATCCGCCGAGGCTTCTTTTGACAGGCGGGTCCTTCAGCGGGTCCTCGAGGTTCCAGGGGAGGTTCCACCCCAGACGGGAGCCCACCCGCAGGACTCGCCAAGCTTTGGTATGTCCCAACCTGGACACTCGGAGCAGCTCTATGGAAAAGGGGCGTTGGTTCTTACCTGATACGCTTCTTTTCGTAGAGCTGTGTAGAGTGTCCAGCCCCACCCATTAGTCCATCTGGTGAGGAACCTCGCTGTTCGACCAAGCAAATTAATACTCTTTAGTTAGGATGAGAACAGGGCCTTCCTTCTCGTCTTCGCAAAACTGGGGAGCGCCCAGAGGACCACGTGATGGTGGGAGGCGTTCCTCAATTTCAAGCTCAGCCTGTGAGAGCCGAGATTGGAGCACCTCCCAACCTGGACACTCTACGCAGCTCTACGAAAAGAAGCGTATCAGGTAAGAACCAACACCCCTTCTCTGGAGTTTTTTCCCCCTCCTTTGCTGGTACTTTGCTTGTGTGGAGTGACCATTCAAAGTTACAATGGCACTGAAAAAAGTGTCTTATGACCATTTTTCACACTTACGACTGTTGCAGCATCCCCACAGTCATGAGAGGCCAGGCGAGAAGTTGCATGCCTCGATGTGAGTGATATTGAGTTGTCCACGCCCAGCCAATAACATGACCATCAAGCCACATCCATCCAGCCACATGACCACCAAGCCATGCCTACCAACTAAGCCACACCCACAGAACCGGTTGTTAAAAAATTTGAATCCCACCCCTGGATTCAATCCTTAATTGTCATTAAACTCTTAAGGTAGTAATTGTGTATATTTCAACATGCTATGTAAGTTATACCGGTATATGTTATCATTTAATGCAGTATAGGTAACAACACTTAACCACACAAAGAAAATTCAAAGCATTGTTCGATGCAGTAAAGCAGTGTGTTGGAACAGAAAAAACAAAGTCCACTTAGCCATAAACGTATCCTTCCTGGCCTTCATGCAAATACAAGTTACTATGTATGTAGACAACAGCACCTTACTGCTTTTATTTTTTCTCTTTTTGAAAAGTTATTAAATATATAGTATCCCCTACATTTTGCAATAATCAGATCTGTATTTTTTCTTAGGAAAAAGATCTGAACTTTTTCTTAAGAAATAATTCAGAGTACTCCTTTATTTTTGTAACAAGATTATGTTTATATACTTAAAAATAAATTACACTGACTGATCAAAGTTAGGGTGATACAGTGATTTTGAATGTCAGCAATTTTTCACAGTATGACAAATATTTCATATTTTGTTGATTGGATTGGAAATATAGTTATTTAATACAAGGTTACCATATTTCAGATAATTATCTTCAATGTCTAATCACCTGATCCCTGAATAATTATAATAATAGCGTATTATTTAAATCATTCTAAACTCTTGTATTCCATCTAGGTCAGGATGGCTATCTAGCTGGCTCCCTGCCTGGTGCCCTACATCACTTGTACACCTTAAAGATGCTGAAGAGAAAATCTTGAAATGTAAGCACTTTGTGGTAAGAAATCTCCAACAGCATTCATCTCAAGTTTTATTACTGTCTCTTTCCCACTCCCTTTTTTTAATGGAGAAAAAAGTTGGAAGAACAATTATAATTAAAAAATAGGCTTTGGTGCAATTGAGCATCTGATCTTACAAAGAAAAGAATATTGGAGCTAGTATATTAAACAAAATGGAATATAGCATGACCATAATTTGTTGTACTTCAGAGATTGGAAGGTTCAAACAAGTTGCACAGGTGAAAATTGGAGAGTAATGTAAGCGAATAACCCCTATAATAAAGTTTTGCTTTCTTATTTCACAAGTCATTCTGGACTTTGTTGTAAGGTACTAGTGAAAGTATGGGTTTTCTCAGTGGATTTGATGTCAAAATAAATTCATTGTGTTTGTGGAATTATTTCAGTATAGACTGAATAATAAGGCTTGTATTTCTTCCTTCAGGTATTACAAGTACTTACAGTAAACAATATGTATACCTATCCAATGGAAATAAAATATGGACACTTACATTTTCTCAGAACCTTTCACAGAAAACTCCACTTGTTCTTCTTCATGGGTTTGGAGGTGGTGTTGGACTTTGGGCTCTCAACTTCGAAGATCTTTGTGAAAATAGGACTGTATATGCATTTGATTTCTTGGGATTTGGTCGCAGTAGTAGACCACAGTTTGACACTGATGCAGAGGTGGCAGAAAATCAATTTGTAGAATCTATTGAAGAATGGAGACGGAAAATAGGATTGGATAGAATGATTTTACTTGGACACAACTTGGGTGGCTTCCTGGCAGCTGCTTACTCACTAAAATACCCATCAAGGTATATGAAAGATTTTTTTTTTCTTTTGTTCAATTGTATCAGAGTCTTGTAGACTAGCTGGAAAAATGTAGTTTTCTTTGTAAGGTTTTTTTCAGAAGTGGTTTACCATTGCCTCCATCCTCAGACTGAGAGAAAATGATTACCTCAAAGTTATCCAGCTGGCTTTGTGTATAAAGAAGGTCTAGAACATAAAGTCTCCTAGTTTCTAGCCTGATACTTTAACCATTACACCAAACTGACAAGCAATAGATAAAGGAAAATTATTTCTATAAAGTGATAAGTTGGCAGAATAATATGATATATATATATGTGCAATCTGGAGCCAAATGGCTAGATTCTCTGCTTAGATTAAAATACAATTAAAAAACTAATGTAATCATTTTACGTGTAGAATTCAGTCTTTATTGCACTTAACTTCCATATTATCTTCTGAATGCATGGAACATCTTTTTTGGGTTGCTTTTAAATATCTAATGCATGGAGGATATTTAAGAGACCACAAAATATTGCCCACCGTGTGTCATATTCATGAGCTTGATTTCAGAATATTTACAGAACAAAAACCTTGGAAGGAGGAGGGAATGTGGGAAGAAATGGCAAATAATTACTAAAAACCATGAGTAATGAAGAAATTATATGTTAGGGAAAAGCTAACTGTACAGTATTTATTTTAGAAAAAAATTAAAATTTTCATTTTTATTTAAAGGCATAACTTATGGTTAATGTTAAGTTACAGTTCAAAAACCTTTGAAGAAAGATTGACTGGTTCATCTGGTACAGTAGTAGACATAATTTATCTATAGAAATCCAATAATTTAATATAGTATTTATCCCAGAGGTGTAAGAAATTGAATTTTGAATTTTTGTATGTCATGCATTTTTCACTGAGCTACAGAAGAAATTTTAGATTGGTACTATTATCTAAAAAAACAAGAAGTATTAGTGTGATTGAAATTCCATTTCCTAGTAATACTGATTTTAATACACAAGCAATTATTTTGAAATTAAAGTGAGAAGTGATAAATGTTTTACATCTGTCATGTTTTAAGAAGAAAATGCATCTATTCAGCTACGTAAATGTTTAAATGTTGATAGTCATAAAGAATTGGAGTATGGACATATACAGATACTCATAAAATGCATTATTGAAAAAATAAATGTTGCTGGCTTATTGACCAAGCAATTGGTATTGCCAGCATCTTTCCTCACTCAAGGTCTTGTTCTTAACTACTTTGTATATCCCCCAGAAATAGTATGAGGTTGGAGAAAGGGACCCTCCCAACCTCTAAAGGTAATATAGCATTCTAATTTTGGACGGTGTACTTCTCAATCCAAAAGCATTGAACAGAGAAGAGAACTCACCACCTTAAATGAAACTATGAGGCAGAGCATGGTGGCTTACTCATCATCTCCACATGACAATTCAGAACCCAATGAATGCAGGAGTAAGATATGTCCGTTTTGCAGTTCAAGATGGAAGTTTGCTCTATTTTTATAATCTCAGATTTGGAATTTACCTTAATCTTAAACACCACCACTGTGGCTCATCTCTTTTCCATTTGTGATGGGGATGGTGACAAACAAGACTGTTGAATCCCATGAAACCTTTGCAGCTAGACCTTAAGAGAGATGAATAGATTGTCCTATATCTAAAGAAAGATAAAAAAATGTTTCAAGAATGACTGAAGTGCAGTCTAGATATTACTGAACTACAGAATTCCTCAGTCCTTGTCAGAATTATCAGTGGTAAGATATTATGGGGATTGCATATGACTTGATAGTTATGCAGCTTCAGTGAAAATACAGAGATTAGGTTCATAACTCCATTGCATTGGAGAGGAATAATGGCAGCAAAGTTACAGTATGCATTCATCCAAATCTAAATCATAAAGCACAATTTGGAAACTCTAGTGTCTAAATTTATATAACAAAGTTGGAAAAAACATGCTTTATTGTGATTTATTGTCGTGAAATGTGAGGATTGGAGAATAGAGATCATCTAGTGCAATCTTGGCCATGCAGGAAACCAGAGATACAGTTATTGATCATTTTGTTTGTAAAATTAAATCATAATATTGTACAAAAGGCCCAGGTCTCCTCTCTCTTCCTCTTCTAAGTCCAGATTCTTGGGAGGAACATTTAGGGTATTTCTGATTCCAACTGTATTTCATCTCTTCTGAGAACTATGGTTAATGTGAAGCATGGTTTAAATAGATGGGTGATCTTTGTCCAGCATTTACTTCCCCCAAGGCTCAGATTTCATCACTAACTGTAATGGAAAAACTTCACTTTGTGATACAAGCCTCCATGGGATTCGATTATCTGTTTTGTATGTTTAAACCCTACCTCAAACTTAAGAAAAGAGCAAAAGAAATGAGCCAAATATTTCTCTTTCATCAGTAATGCTGCTGTCACTAGACTAAGCCTCAGAGAGTACAGGTTAAAATAAAAAGTCTTATCTTCCTCTGATGGAATTGCCCATTCCAGTTTAAATTCAATTCACTGTAATTGTCTATTTATATTGTTATATATTGTCATAAATCCTCTGTAGGTTTTCAACTGTCTGGATAAAGAATTAGTCTGTGCCCAATTCCATTTTAGTTTGGAATGAGTAGTCATTAAATAACTTGAATGTCTGATAAAACAAAATCTCAGATCATGTGAATGGCTACCAATTAAATATGAGGACAAATCACTTTCAGGTGATTGTGTGACTGGAGAAAGAACAGGGTCAGCATACATTTTCCACACTGTATCCATTTCAAAGTACTTAATAATTCTCAAACTGAACTTTGAAACGTAAAATGTATATTCTTATTCTATATGAATCTATTTCCTGTGTAGATACCAAGTAATTAAAGCTGATTCTGAAATAAGATTTGTACTGTTCAATTGATTTCCTTACTGACAAAATATAACTTTTATCTCTGCAGAGTAAAGCATCTTCTGTTAGTGGAACCATGGGGTTTTCCAGAAAGGCCTTCCAATGCTGAGCATGAGAGGACTATTCCAATATGGATCAAAGCACTTGGAGCTATCTTGAGTCCATTTAATCCATTAGCTGGTCTCAGAATAGCTGGACCTTTTGGTGAGTGCTAACCTAGCTTATTTTATTATATTGCCAAAGACATCAATTTTGAAATTGCAGTAACATGGACCTTAGGTCATCTATGTATTTAAGCACTCACCTGGTTAGGTTAGAATGTGGAATCCTATTAAGGCCTTTGAGCAAAATGATTGAGGAAGAATGATACATTTAAAGCTTCTCCTATATTCAGCATAGAAAGACAGCAGGCTCCTGAAGGGAAATATAAATGCTCTGCCAGATGCAGTCTGGTAATTTTGGCCCGCGGTGCCTCTGTTGGCCAAAACTGGCGGTGGGGAGGCCGCACATGCCTTCCCGCAGCCCATTTTTGTCCGGCAGAGTGCTGCAAGAGGACTGGATTGGACTGGATTACAATTATGTGGCCTCAAGTAAGTGCATGATCTGAATAGAAAGCAAGCAATATCCTATGTTAATACTATAGTTAATGCCAGATTTACATATTGTAGGCCCATTTAATCTACAATCAACTATCTATAATTGACAGCTATTTCTATTTATTATTCTGGAAATTAACCTCTGCTGATAGATTGTGTATTATCATGTTATTTATGCTATTGTATTTTTATTATTAGTTGAATAATAAAAATACACTAGTATAAATAGCTTTTCTGCAATTTACTATTAAACAATGGGGTATAAATTTAGAAATAAAAAGTTTAGAGGCAATTGAAGAATAAGTAATAAATGTTTGCCAGCAATATCTGGTAGAAGAGATAAGAAAATGGTTATAGTAAAGAACTGGAAAGAAGGAACAGAAGTGGGGGAAATGCATCTTGAGCCTGTGTCAAATGCCCACCATGGCTATGCCCACCATGACCACATCCAACTCTGGCTACACCTTCTCGGCCCTCCAAGGTCAAATACAACCCTGATGCAGTCCTCAATGAAATCGAGCTTGACACCCCTGCTCTAGGTATTTATTGGCAAGGATAACTATGATGGCAAAAACGTCTTGTTTAGCATTAATTTTCTGTTTCTCCTGAGGTTTTATTCTACACTTCAAGTGGAAATTTATACTAAAGAATTTATAAAGTGGTTGGATGCTTAGAAATAAAATACCTGGTGGCAGAAAATGTTTATAGGTATAATAATTATTATAGTATGTCAGAACATCTTGGATATTATTGTAATGTAATAGCATAATTTATTTTATTTATGTTGTTTATGGCTTGACTTGTCAAAATAAAGAGAAGAAATGTAGCTTGTCAAATCAGGATTGTTACCACTCTAGACAATTGTAATTATTTGTTAATTAAATTGTATTTAAATAAAATAATAGTTTCTTTAATTCCCATTTTAATTCCCATATGATAATGATGGAATCAGGCAATGGATTTCAGGGCTCAAAAAAATAGAATTATTATCTTATGCACAGTTGGAGATTTCCCTCCTTTGTCTGCTATTAAAAGTACTAAATTCTTGATTTTTGATATATAATAGGATTGAGCCTGGTACAACGTATAAGGCCAGACTTTAAGAGAAAGTATTCATCTATGTTTGATGATGATACAGTCACTGAATATATTTATCACTGTAATGTGCAATCACCAAGGTAAGTGTAAGATTTTAAAAGTCTTTATATTAATTATTTTCTAAAGCATGGATCTTAAATAATCAAAACAATATACAATCATCTTCAAAGAAAGGAAATGTAATCATTTGCAAAACTATAGTCCTTAAAGAAAAAGAAATACATGTAAGTAGAAAATCACTTTTAAAAATACATGAAGAACTGACCATGTTGATTATTAGAAGAAGAATGGAATGGAGTGTTTTCAAAAAGGGCATTATAAAATGGACAAATAAATTCTCTATTAAATCATTTTCTTGCATGGTGTTTTCTTAACATGTGAAGTCATCATAAATCTTCAGCCTTCACTGTTGTTTAATAAGCTGCTTGTAAAGATGACAGGTTCATTAGAAAATCCATCTTAAGCTATTACCTGAAGAAAAAAGAACTGACAGGTATGAGATTCCTTTGAAATCTGATATATATTACTAAGAACGTGTGCACTTCATAATTGTTTTAATATTTTTCCCTTTCATTCTTCTTTCAACATTCATAAAAACCAGCATGGCTTTTAAAAAGGTGTCACTGTTCTTGAAGTCCTGTATGGCAAAGACTGTATCAGACATTTGCCATTAACTTTCCATAAAGCTAGAGATAAATAAAGGTATTTATATTAAATTATCTGTGATTGTATTAAACATAGTTAAGACTTGACAGGCACTAGACAAAGTTTTAAAATTATATACATGACTAAGCAATATTAGATTATGTTGTATTAATAAATAATTAAAGTCAGGTATATGGAATTTAGCAAATTCATCTAGTTTTTTTCATTGACATCTTAAAGTGGTGAAACTGCTTTCAAGAACATGACAGTTCCGTATGGATGGGCAAAAAGGCCAATGCTGCAGAGAATTGTTCATATGCATCAAGACATACCTATCACTGTGATTTATGGAGCAAGGTCCTGTATAGATGGCAATTCTGGAGCCACCATCCAGTCCCTGCGACCAAATTCTTATGTGAAAACAATAGTAAGTGGGACATTCTAGTCATTATTTATTTTGTTTTTAGTCGTTCTGTTGCGAAGTGACCACTCTAATTTATCTTCTTTTGACATTTGGCAACAGCTATTTGAATGTTTAAGTGTTCAAATTACAATTCTGTCAGTCTTTTAAAATATATTTTGGACATATATTTTTCTTTCTGTTCATCTGTGCATAAATATGAAAAAAAGCAATTCAGCATAAATGGGTTGATGCATGGATGCAATCATTTTATTACAAATCTGCAGTCACTGTAATACTAGTAGATCTTACTCACTTCTCCATGAAGAACAGATGAGTAGATTGTAAATGGACTGGAGAGTTATTTCTGGACAAAAACTTCAGTTTTGTGTACAGGTGTATCCTCCATATAGCCTCCAGATTTTTTTCCCTGCACCCTCAAGTCAGGGTTAACTGCTAATGACTACCTGCGTTAGTCTCTGTAATTTTCTTGGCAAGTGTTTTGGAAGTGATTTGCCATTGTCTGCTTCCTATGGCTGAGAAAGAGTGATTGGCCCAAGGTAATCCAGCTGGATTTGTGCCTAAAGCAGAATTAGAATTCAGTCTCTGGTTTCTTGCCTGATGTTTTATCCACTATACTTATTCTCCCTTCCGATTTATATTGAATTTCACGAGTATTCAAATGAGATTTTTCTGTTATTATGGCAGTCCTTGATTTATCACCACAATTGAGCCCAAAATTTCTGTTGCTAAGTGAGACACTTGTCAATTACGTTTTGCCCCATTTCACCACCTTTCTTGCCATAGCTGTTAAGTGAATCACTGCAATTGTTAAGTAAGTAAATGATTGTTAAGTGAATCTGGCTTCCCCATTGACTTTGCTTGTCAGAAGTTTACAAAAGATGATCACATGACCTCAGGACACTGCAACCAACATAGATGTGAGTCAGTTGCCAAGTTCCTGAATTTTGATCACATGACCATCAACATGCTGCATTAGTCATAAGTTTGAAAAACATAAGTCACTTTTTTCAGTACCATTGTAATTTTGAATTGCCACTAAATGAACTGTTGTAAGTAGAGGAGTACCCGTATATCTTAATGTATGCAAATGAAAGTCAATGTGAAATCATCTTTTTGTATGGATACCCTTTAAATGTATAAGAATGAATACATTTCATATTAATCTCTTGGTTAAATCCCTGTTTTACTTTATTTCTAAATATATCCATATACATCAAAAGTATCCCCTTTTTCAAAAGACAGAGAAAATATAAAAGCAAAACACTTCCTTGCCTGCAGGCTTAAACTCTGTTTTAAAAAATCTGAGAAAAAAAGAAAAATGTGAACTTATAAAAATAGGGAATTCAATTTATAGTGTATTTGTTCTAGAAACAAATTTGCTCATATTTTTTGTAAACGTCAATAATGTTATAAAACATTGATGTTAAGATGTTAAATTGATTTTCTCTCTCTCTTCCATTCCCAGGCTATCCTTGGTGCAGGTCATTATGTATACGCGGATCAACCTGAAGATTTCAACCAGAAAATAAATGAGATCTGCAATTCTGTGGACTGAAAAGGTTTTGCTTTTTGAAAAAAGAGGCTGTAAATATAAATCAAAGTAATACTTTATAGTATATTATTAAAAAGTTAAGGAAAAGCTGAAAAAATAACCAATTTTCTATGTACTCTTTCATTTAAAATATTTTCTCACTTAAAACTATGCAGTTCCTTTTATTATAATGGGCAGATTTAAAAATAGTTGTACATTTTATTTTGATTCTGTCTCTGTATGTTTTGGGGAAACATATTTCAATGTGTATTAAAATATTTTAAAACTGGAATTTTAAAAGTTAAGTTTTGCAAAATTATAACATTTAATTTGTAAGAATTTCAATAGCAAAATTACAGTTTCGCTATTTCTTGCAGTATCCATATACTGCAGTCTTCATAAAAAGATGAAAAAATTACTGAGGATTGAATCAGAAGATTGCATATAGGATGTTATTTCATTGAATTTATGTGGAATTTGCCAAAATAATATTAACAAGCACTCAGGAAAAAGACCACAAATAGGAAGGGAAGTTGGGGGAAAATTCTGTGGTTTTTTTTTTTTTTTGGCTCTTGTAAATATTGTTTTAACTGTGCTAATGATTGAATGCTAAATGTCCTATGTTCTAAGGTAGTAATACCTTAGGATATCTAAGTTCTAAGGTACCAATATTCTTCCACTTGTTTTTAAAGAGTTGCATAATAGAGTGGATTTGAAATTTTTGACACTGATAATTGCAAAATATATTGATGAGCTGATTCTCAATTTTTACATGCAACTAAAATTCAGTCATATAGACCATGGATAAAGTACTGTGGTAATTAGTATTTGGATGAATATGTATTTTCTTATTTTTGGAATGTTGAGCCAGACTAATTGTAAAACAATATAATCTTGTCAAAATTAGGTATCTTAGAAAAAGGTATATTTAATTAAATAAAAGAAATGAATCTGGAAATGTTATCTTACCTCAGAATTTTAAAAATAAAGTATTTTAATGCAGTATTTTAAAGAGTTATTTGGGCCCTGAAGAGTTTTTTTAAAAAAACGTAAGGTAAGTTAAATAAAATAAGCAGAATTGTAAACTTAAAAGTGTGTGGAAATGTCTGTGCGTCTTATACAGCGAATGTTGCCAAAGCCCTGCTGGCCCCCACCCTTCGGCCTCTACCTCCCAGCAATTCGCCTCCTTGCAGCAAACAGCCTGGTCAGCTTCAGCACAGCCTGGTTAGCATGAGCTGCTGATTGGTGGATGGATTGGCCTCCCAACAATCAGCTGTTTCAGGCTGCAGGGATCGTCATCGCCTATTATCGTCCCTCTCCCTCCCCCCCCTCACTCTCCCCTCCCACTCTCCCTCCCATTTCTGTTTCTCTTCCTTTGCTTTCTTTCTTTCTTCCTTTTTTCCTCCCTTTCCTTCCTTCCCTTTCCCTCTTTATTTTTCTTTCTTTCTCATTGAATATAATAGCAAATCAAAAATAAAGTTATTATTGTGGAAAATTGCTTCTCTGTAATCTTTTCATAGTGAACTCTAAGTTCACAGAAGCTGGCAAGATTGTATTAACAGAGGACTTCCGGTTGTGTTTCCTTTGAGGATGGACCAAAGACCGCAATCATGCAGGGCTTCAATCCATGTTGTACCTGTTAGAGGGCTCTGAACAGGGCTAGAACCAACTTGGAGGGGTGGGGAAGAAGGAGAAGACCGCCTGTCAGGTTGAGGGGAGCCACATCTCCCCTCCTTGGTTAGGTAAACTCCCCCGAAGACGGGCTGCATGAGTGGCCAAATATGGCTACCCTGAAGAAGGAGAGCTATCCATGACAAAGATTGTGCAGGAACAGTGAAGAACTGGACAGTGTGGAGACCAGGCAAATTAAGCTCAATATCTGAACATAAGATACCCCGGATTTAAAACTTTAAAGAGACTTTTAAAAAAAAGATTGGGAAAGCAGCGACCAGAGGGATTGGGGGGAAAAAATTAGGACATAAGTGAAAGTGCTTTGAACTGTAAAAGAATTAAATTGAAAGAGGAAGCTAGAAGAAAACATCTATGTAAATTGGATTATTTTAATTATACAATTGGCACTAAATAGACATACTTAAAAGCTGAACTTGAATGTGCCAAAAAGAAAAAAAAATGCAATAATTGGATTTATTGGATTTTTCAAACTTAAAAGCCTTAAAAGGGAAAGGAAAGTGAAAAGAAAAGGTGGAACTTGGACATAACAGAGAGTGCTACCTAATGGTAAAGGAAATATTTCAATGACTCTTTAAAAAGTGTTTGGTTCTATAAAACTGGAACTTGATACAAAGTAAGAGGAACTTTGAAGCAATAAGATAGAAACCCTGAAAAGTGAAATTACTGTACTATAAAGAAAGAAGAAAGAAGTCTGAACCCTGGGAATACTAGGTGACTTTGAGGAAAAATTAAAACTCAACAGAAGGAATTTAACAATAAAAATATATGAACATTTGACTATATTGACCCTGGAAATTTGAAATAGGATTTAACAGAAGTGGATGATTAGAAGCTGGTTTAAATTAACTACTGAATAACTGGACTGGATTTAAATACTGAAGAAAGGTAAAAAAAAATTAAAATTATAAGAGCTGCACAAAAATGGCAGAATACTGTCTGGAAATAAAATCAGACTTAAGTATAAGGGAAATGATATGGGGAAAAGTGGAATTGTGCAGTATTGCTTTACAAATGCTGGAAATGGTGGGCGGCGGAGCTGGCGTCTCAGTGATACAGCGTGCGATCTTGAAGCTCCAAGATTGCCACTGATATCTCTGTTGCAGGACGGTCCCACCAAACCTAAACCGTCCCATAGAGATGGTGATTGAGGAGGGCACATACTGTCGATCCCAGGGACATCGCAAAGCCCCTGGTTGATCCAGGAAAAGCCCTTTCTGCCGGTGGCAGAGAGACAGCCTTCCAAGCTGCTGAAGCTGGGACAGCTCCGGAACAGAAGAGATTGGAAAGAAAATGTGTCAGTTTGGTGAGATGAACTTTTACTTATTATTTCTTGAAGAGAACACCCTGAAAAAAATGAAAGTGGACTAAAAGTGAAGAGAAAAGGATTTAAGTGGTGTGATTAATTGTCAGAGTGAAAGTTTTTTTTCTTTTTTCCCTTTTTATTGCAACTCTGAATTTGGCAAACCTGTTTAACTTTAAGCTGGACTGGTATTTTTAATCTTTTAATCTTTGTATTTCTTTGTCCCTTTTTTTAACAACCCTTTTGAAAATCCCTTTTTGACTAAGATTCTTCTGCTTAATTCAAGATTTATTTTTCTCCTTTTAAAATAAGGGAAAAGACTTTACTTTTTTTTTAGTTCCTGGTTGCAGATTGAGGAGAGGGAAGTGAAAGTGAAGGAAAATAAGTAGCACTGCCACCCAGAGGCTTGGATACAATGTTTCTTTTTTATTTCACTAGTTTGTGTTACAATCAAGGGCTCTGAGTTGTGTATTCGAAAAGATAGAGATGAGCATGGCAGTTTGTTTATTCAGATGCTCATTTCTGAACAGATAGCTGGAGTCTGGATTTGAAGTTGAAAGAAAGAAGATTGAAGTGACCTTGAAAAATTCTCAGTTGACTTATCAAAGAGCAGAGGCTTGCTTTATACTAGAATTGCTTTTTACCTTTTGCCTCCCCTTCTACCCCCCCCCCCCGCCAAACTAGTGGGGCTCTTTTTTTCTCTTTAATTGGATTTTAACTTTTTAAACCAGGAATTAGAATGTGAACTTTTATTTAGGTTTTCTTTTTGTTTATTGAGAGGAACATATAGAATATTTTTCTTCTTTCTTTCTTTCTTTTTTATTTTTTACATCTACCATTGCAACTAATTGGATTAAGGTATATAAGTGCCTGAAAATTTACTTTTTCCTTTTGAAGTGGCAATTACTTGCCTTCATTTTTTTCTTTTTTCCTCTTTTTTTCTTCTCTTTTTTCTCTCTCTTTCTTTACAGATAAGCATTACAAAATGAGTAGAAAGACAACAGCCCCAGCTTCTTTGATACCAACTCCCTCACCATCTGGAGGACAACAATCAATACAGAGAATATTACAACAGGAAAAAGAAAAAGAGAAGGAAGTGACATTACAGATCATTATGCAAGGAATTCAGAAAATTGAGCAAAAAATTGAAAAGACAGATGAAAAAGTGGAAAATATTCAACAGATGATGAAATATGAAGACAGATTCAAAAAAATTGAAGATATACAAAGAGATAAGATAATTGGAGATATTGATATTCGTTTGAGCAATGTCGAGAAGGGCAGATTTGAACCATTAGGATAGGAAATAGACAAATCAGAATTTTATCTAAGATTTCAAAATATAGAAGAAGGAAAAGGTGAAGATCTTGCTGAAATAATGGCAGAAATATTGGCAGAAGCACTGGAAATAACCAAAGAAAAGATGATGGATGGGATGGACGAAGTGTTGTGTGTCTACACAAGATATGCAACGAGGAATAGATTACCAAGAGAAGTTCACATTAGATTTACTAAGAAAATTATTGGTGGCGAGAGAGAAAACACTAAGATACAAAGATACAAAGATAAAGAAATTGTGGTGCTGAAACAGATACCAAGAAGAGTAAGAGAGATGAGAAGAGAATATTTATTCTTGACTAAAGAGTTACTTAAAAGAGGAGTAAACTACAGATGGCTGATGCCAGAAGGTCTCTTGTTCACTTGGCAGGAACAAAGACACAGAATTGACACAGTTAGAAAAGCTGAGCTATTCTACTTAGAATACTTTAGAGAAAAGGAGGAAGAAGAAAGGAAGGAAGAGTCACTAATTGAGTTCCAAGAGGAGTGTATAGCAATAATTGAAAAAGAAAAAGAAGAAGGTGCAGTAGGCAGTGAACCCAGAGAACGAGAATTGAGATCTACTAGAGCAATAAAACCCTCTTATAAACCTTAACATGGATGAAAGAAAATTAATTACGATTAACATAAATGGACTTAATTTGGTTACTAAAAGAAGGAAAGCCCCGAATGATAAACAAGAAGAATTCTATAAAAAATTACATACAAAAATAATTGAATTGGACTATGTTAATATTTGTATGATGGGAGATTTTAATGGAATAATTAATGACTGGTTGGACTATAAAACACAGAAAACAACAAAGAAAGTTAGAAAGATATTACCCAAATCCTTCCTTTGAATAACAGAACAATTTAATTTAAACGATGCATGGAGAGAAATGCAGAAAGTAAGCAATATACTTTTTATTCAAACAGGCACACATCCTGGCCTAGAACAGATATGATATGGATGTCAGCAGAATTATTGACTAATGATGACAGATTGAAATAAAAACAAGCACTTGGGCAGATCCAGTGTCAATTATTTGGAAAGGACACAAGAGGAGATCTAGATGGGTTTTAAATAATATGATACTGAAAGAAAGACTTTAAACAGAAAATAGAGAAAGAACTTGTTTTCTTCTTCAAAGAAAATAGAAAAGAGGATACATCTTTACAGAATCTCTGGGATGTGATGAAGGCCTACACAAGATGTTTGATAATAGATTATACTAAGAGAAGAAACAGAAAACAGAAAAAGACATTTAAGACATTAGAGATTGACTATAAAAGACTGGAAAAAGACTTACAGATGTTCCCACAAAAAAGACATTAAAAATAAAATGGATATAATTAAACATAAAATGGGACTAATGGAAAAAGAGGATTTAGCACAAAAAAATAAAAATGCTAAACAGAATTACTTTGAAGATGCAAATAAACCAGGCAGATGGCTAGCTTATAAACTGAGAAAGGAAAGATAAGCAAGAAGAATTAGTCAATTGATAAATAAAGAAGGACAGGTTTGCTATGGAAATGAGGAGAGAAAAAAATTATACAAGACTACTACGGAAAACTGTACTTTCAAGAGAATATTCAAGAAGAAAAAGTTAAACAATATCTTCAGAAAGTGAACCTACCTCAGATACCCCAAAACATTGAAACAATGTTAGAAGGAAGTATAACAATAATGGACTTAACAGA